TACTCCAGGAAAATTCATTTTTTTGGCCAAAATGAAGAGTTATTATCCCTTTAATTACCCCCTATCAGCTTCAGTAGGCGTGACTGATATCTAAGCCGCTAAAGTTAATTGCAATTAAGCGAGAATCCCTTGGAGATAGTTCGATCCAAAGTTAGTACGATAGGGTCTGGGAATTGTCTCTGAGACTCGGCGTGGACCATTTTAATGTTAATGTATATGGAATATCAAAATATGACCGAAGTATCATCCTTTTGGTCGTTTGATAGTGCCAAAACCAAGGAATTTTATAATTCAACAAAATATGTGAGAAAATACCACTAAGTCCTATGTGGTTGATTACTAACATTTTCCCATTAGGGGTGCCTCGAGGTGGCATAGCATGCATACATAACTTGACCTAATAAACGTTGTATTATTGGCGCATTTTTGGAGGAAAATCCCCTTGTATCTCCACGTAAAAAAATGGCTGTCAACTTTTGAGCGTGTGACGCACGCGCACGGCCCCGAGATTGGGGTAGGCGAGTTTTCATGCTGAAATCTGGATCGAATTTCCAAAAGAAATATCTTGACAAAGAAGCTTGGAATGTTTTGGGTGGTGACCATGGTCTGAGGATTATTTTTTATTTATTTATTTTTTTAAATTATTATTTTTCTGTTTTCTTCCTTGTTTTTAATTCTATCCCGTTTATTTTTCAATTCTATTTCATTTTCGTCGGGTCGTACACTTATAAAGAAGAAAAGAGCCACCTGATGGCTTTTTGGTGCTCGAGTGTCCGATGTGTCTTTGTTCCCGTCAGGGGCCTCAACAGAAATAGGCCAGACATATTGGCATCTATTGTAAACCGGGCTAAGACCCAGCACAGTGCTATATATAAGAACAAGACCTTAATTTTCACCCTTACTTGACCGATCCGCTTTGAAAGATTGACAACTTACCAAGCCGAATATTTCGTCAGAGAATCACGTTAACGCAACCCCTACCTCGTCAAGTTCTGATAATGTCAGCAGGAAGCGAACTTGAAGCAAATTTGTATAAGGGAGAAAAAATTCTGTAACGACATTACATGTTCGTTCCTCTTTAATTGTACCAGCCCACTTAAGTGTAACGCTCGAAGTGAAGTGTCATTATATTCTTTAACCAATCAAGGTGACAATCGAGTGTGGCATGGAAAATATTCAGTGTCGCATTCATTCGTATTATCAGAACAGCAGGAAGTGTGATTTTGAGTGGGCACGGCATTCACCGGATTTGAACCTCCCCCAGATTTTTTTCTGTGGGTGTACTCGGTATCTCAATGATAAAATATACCAGAACAACCCTCAAATGATTTCAAATGATTGGTGAACTGTGGGGAGCAATCGCAGCAAAAATGAGGGAAACTCTAAGGAGAAATGTGTTTGAGAAATTGACAACTTTTACGCGACACATGAAATGTGCATCCAATGCCTCGGAGGCCATTTTAAAAAGAACATACATGTAGCTTTTATGCAAAGCAACCAAGAAAACTGAAACTTTGGGAAAAAATCATGCACATATTGAAGTTTAAGTCCAGCAAATTTCTTGATATTTTGATGGACCTTTGTAGGATTTTGAAAAAATATTAAAAATTTTATGGGTTCTTTCTTTTTCTGTCTTTTGTTCACCCTGCATCTTCCCTTCAACTTTAATGTCCTTGCTCTCGCCGGTGGAAAATACCAAGAGACGCGTATCGCCTTGCTGTTCCTGTAGTTAAATTTTTGTGTTAATTTTGTTTTTAAGCATTATGCAATGTTACTTCAAACTTGACAAAATAACCCATTTTGTGTATCATTTTTTTCTGGTTTTTGTCTGTACTTCCGACAGTTTTGCTGCCTTATTTTATGTGTTACTATCAAGACGACCTGGATCTCCGTGCATTCTGATCAATTTGAGTCATAAATAGGCGGCATTTCGTGATTTTTCTTCTTAGATATTTCGATACCACCGTATGATTTATACATCCCAATGATTTCAAGCTCTGTCGCCCACGGTGCCATGCTCAGTGTGGAGTTTACCCGTTGACAGGCAGTTAATGTCAGGGGCCATTACACCAGGGCTGTTATAGCAACCTGATGAGACGCGTAGACAGGTAAATGACGTCGTATGCATCACCTGTGCCCCATGGTATTAAGTAAATTGCATAATAGAATGAAATATATATCCAAGTAACTGTTCTCGGGAGTAAATCTGGCTATGCTATAACAAACATTTACAATTCAATTGCCTTTTGGAAATCTTTCAGGCAATGCGCCTAATCGTAATAAATCTGATAATAGAAGTAGTTGCATTGTTGTTGTAAGATATATCTTCATTGTAATTCTTTCTGAGCCGTAGGGCTCAGGGGTGTAATAAATTTTATTGATAAAAAGTAATATTGGCTCCACGGACCGTCAAATGGTGCACTGCTAGGCCTGCATGCTAACTGTCACCCCCTCGTATGAACTTCAGAGCGAGGACAGTTTGAAAATAGGGTAGTGAAAATAATTAACTATATTTCAAATATTAATAAAGAGTCATTTACGCGTTAATCGGGCTTTGGAGTACTAAATGATGTCATTAAACGGTGATCGTGGTATTAAGTAAATTGCATAATAGAATGAAATATATATCCAAGTAACTGTTCTCGGGAGTAAATCTGGCTATGCTATAACAAACATTTACAATTCAATTGCCTTTTGGAAATCTTTCAGGCAATGCGCCTAATCGTAATAAATCTGATAGCATTAGTAGTAGTTGCATTGTTGATATGACTTTACATTTTTCATTGTAATTCTTTCTGAGCCGTATAGGGCTCAGGGGTGTAATAAATTTTATTGATAAAAAGTAATATTGGCCCCACGGACCATCAAATGGTGCACAAAGCCTACTGCTAGGCATGCATGCTTACTGTCACCCCTCGTATGAACTTCAGAGCGAGGACGTAGTTTGAAAATAGGGTTGGTAAAGTATATCTCCTGAATAGAGGCTATTCACCTGGATAGCCTCATTCCCTGATGAAGATGTCCTGATAGACATCGAAATATTGGAGGTAAAAAAAAACTCCTCAAACTCAATATTAGCTGTTGACTGAAGAAAAATTACACCATTCTTAGGGTAGTTAAAATAATTAATACAATATTTCAAATATTAATAAAGAGTCATTTACGCGTTAATCGGGAGATTGGATAATTAATTTAAGAGAATTCCCTAAAGAGGAAAGACATGGTTTTGTCAGATGTACTACTCATATAGACTGTAACAGGTATACGTCACCTAGGTAACATTGACATACAGGTAGGTGGGTTTTGAAATGATATGATTTATGTCTTAAGTACAGTACAGTCATAGGTACAATCCTGCCTTCCAGCACTAATTATTGTCTCATTTAGTTTGTATTATGATGTGTGTAACATGATCTCAGTTATTGATGTTTTTGAAACAGCTGAAGTATTTCATTTTATTAGACTACCACAGGTTAAATAGGACTCAAAATGAACTAGGATCCAAAATAATTATTATATTATTAAAATCTGAGCTAAGCTTTTTCAGAAAAATCGCTGGCAGGGCTTTGGAGTACTAAATGATGTCATTAAACGGTGATCGTGGGTGGTCAGGTAAAGGAGAAATTTGAGACGGCAGTTTTTTCAATTTTGCCCCAAATTCGCAATTATGACGTCACCCGTAATATGACATGTGTGTAAATGTTAAATTATTTACAGTAGTCACTGAACACTGAAGATTTATCTGTTATCCAAAAGAATTTATGTAAGGCAATAAAGGAGGAGTTTTTGGCAAAGGCTAACGATATCCTTTTAAGACGCGGCTTTCAATTATGGTTTAAGCATCTCCTCGTCTCAAAGTAGGATCCAAAATAAGAAAATTTTAATTCGGATCCTCGTCTCAATATACTGTAGCTAGGCGCACTGATTGTGGTAATTTATATCGTGATCATTATATCTTTAATCATTTTTAAAAGTTCAGACCAATTTTCGGGTTTTAAGTTATTTTGTGGAATGGGCCCCTGGTCGTTTTCGAACGCAACCACTGCAATTATCGAGGTCTCATTAAGACGCAGCACCCAATTATGGTTTTAGCTCCTTCCCGTCTCAATTTACCTTTCTTAGGCGCACTTCCTGCAGTAATTGCTATCGTGATCATTATATCTTTAATTATCTTTGTTTTTTTTCTGACGTTAATGTCGGGAGAGCTAATCATACTGAGAGCTTCTATCCTTCAGCCGAGAATCTTTATAATACAAGTGCTTGAATTTATTTATTCAAAAATCTATTACACTTTTTAAAACATCGACTCTTTTACTTCTTAATTTATTCTCGATTCTGTATATATCTAGTGTATATCTTTATTGACTGAATAAATTTTATCTTATCTAAGTACTTTAAATCAAATTTGTACTCGTGTTTGTAAGGCAGGTGCCATTTATTTATTTATTTATCTTGTTTTTATCTAATTAAAATATATTTGCCGTTGCGCTATACAATACAGTAGAATTGAACAGGACGCGTGTGCGGCATCCCGACCCATAGATCATCCTTTTATAAATAATACTTAGACCTCTTAACTTTGTTGACAACACAAAGTGTCTCTTTTTAAAGAGCTGTTAAAACACCTGTATTATATATATTATCAATATTTTATGTCATACATTGAAAGACTTCAGTTGAAATTTAATAAATCACTTGCTGGCCACATTGATTATTCTTTGATTTTTATGTAGTCAGAGTATTTGAGTATAGAAAACTGCTAATGCATTTCAAACGAGGTATTTCTTTCTAAAGCATTAACAACAGTTCATGCCTTTCGAAATTATAAGAAACGGAGAGAAACGCCCTTTTTGTATGTGTGTGTGTGTCTGTACGTGTTGAGGTGGAACAAAAGGGACTCTTTCTCTCTGACAGTTGTCAATGTTGACAGGTATACCATTTGCTTTTGTCCCTCTGTTCATAATACATTTATCCATTCGTCGCTAGCCTTTGCTCAGTATTAGAAGTTAAGGCTTATTTTCAGTGTGGCTTAAGTTATTCAGTTATTTCGCCCAGGTGCACCATTGGGGACAGGTTAATACTAGTAATCGGATCCCTGTTGTTTGATCGCGCTTTGTATGACGGGGTAGTAGGACAAAAGGTGGACGTTTCTACTGTTCAGTACTCTCTAAATAGCTCATTGTACTGCTGGACGTGTTGTGAGAATTTTGTCGTTAAATGTTGTGTCATTTTACTGATCTTCGACGTCGTGACATCCGCGAAAGGTGAGAGAAGCTCTTTTTTTCTCAGTTAATTCCCTTTATGTCACCTTTGATATTTAATAGCAATCGTTTATTTCAATAACGCACAAAAACGTCATTTTAAAGTCATTTTCAGGGGTCAGGGTCTCTTCTGAAAATAACCAATGGCCAATGGCAAGGTCCATCCCTTATGGACCCTCTCTGCTACAAAGCTAGAAAGCTGTTTGCTTAGCCGTTCTATGTACCACCCCGTGGTCACCTATAGTTACTGCATCCACTTGTAACAATACATGCCGATCGATTCTTTGGCAAACAATTATAAATCCAGTCTCTCACACGCCCATGCATATGCGTCTTTCAAAATGGCCGTTTATTGACGCACGAGTATTTTTCACAGGTAAGACTGTGATGTCATTTCAGATCTTTTTCAACATCAACCTCTAAAAAGCGACGGGGACTGCGACGTGAGGGGTGGATTTAGTGAACTATGACAAGGAGTGGCCGTGTGCCCGGCTTGGAGACAAAATGTGAATGTCACTGACGCCACCATTCCCTGACCGCCGAGGAGGAATATGGAGTAAAGGGCACGACTCTGAAATTATTCACAGGGGGGATACGTACTGCAGATCTTAAGCCTTTACATTTAATATAGCACAAAAAGGAGTTGACAGGTAAAGTTGCCTTGTCAGATATATGTGTGTGTTATTAAAATATCGAACATCAAACCAAATTTTGAAGTCAGCTCTTTAACATTCCAACAAACGCTTAACCTGTAGGTTGGTTACGTCATTCCGGTGTTCCTGAATATATAGTTTCGACTCGCCCAGTGGTTACTGCGAGCATTCAGTGTACACGTAGGGAATATAGCGCAATGTTAAGGCAAGCTGCGTGAGTTGGAAATAATATTTTCCTTTTTAATCATCCTCCGAGAGAATAGAGGAAAACGCGCAGACTGCAATAGCTATATTACACAGGTAAGTTCTTATTTTATGAGGCATGATGAATATTAAATCATATTATATATGTGTAAGGAGGGAAAATAGGTATTAATAAACTGCAAATGTCATATTATGAAGATCACTCCAATGTATCACAGCCTTAGAAATGTCAGTTTTACCTGAATTAACAATGATAATTCCGATGACAATAATCAATTGTAGAGAGCAGTATTTATACACATTCTAGAAATTGAAAATTTGCCAACGTTTTATTCAGTTTTCGCACAGTTGTTGGGTGGGTTATGACACAATACACAATGTCTTTCGGGTGGATTCTCTCTAACGGTGAATATTTCTTTACAAACACGAAAGATAGATTGGGTGTTACACGTCGCCCGTGATTCGAAAGCATCGTGAATAGCGACATATTAAAATGCAATTGTTACTTCTGATGTGGCATTTTAAAGCTTCATATTTTTTTTCATATTATTCAAAGTCCCTATCGTTTTCTTTGCATAACATGCCTCAATGCCCAGGTACTCAGGAATGTCTGGTTGCCCCTGAAAATAGGTCCCTTTTCGTGTTTTTTCAAAATTTCGAGGTGTCTGTCCTATTTGTTGGTGTCGTTTATCCATCAATTTTCCACGTTTGTCTTGGATGTTTATCATGACAGCAGTAAAAATATTTACTAATTTATTGAATAATGTACACAGATTATTGAACAGAGGTTCAAATATGCTTATGATTTATTTTTTCGGAAATTAGGAAAGTAACCAAATGCTTTTAGTTTGTAAAAACATGGCCTACAAATAGTTTTATTGATCCATTGTTATACATTGTTTAAATTGGGATTGCAGAAATGTTTATGCTAACTAGTATTTTTTTTAATTCAATAATTGCGTCTTGGTCTGCTTGAACCTCATTCTATTAGATCTTATACATGTTAACCAGTGCTTTAAAGAAATGTAACATCGGTCATAATTTACTAAAATAAAGGAATTGTCGGTCTAGGACATTATTAAGGCATATTTGTTATATGAAGCAGTCCTCACGTTACATGGATTTCTTCTGTCACAAACATGTTACATGTAGATATCATTATGCACTATTTAGGTTGAAGGATTTCAGTATGCTTTGCATTATATGCCTGTAGACGCTTTGAAAGTGTTTCAAGGGGTCTCATTAAGAGGGGTTTTAAGTCTTTGAAGAAAAAAACAAGAAAATTGGATTTATCACTAATTAACTTGATGAGAATCCTTATTCATTTTCCTTTTTTTTTCCAGATACAATGAGGGTCCGTATGGTGATAACACGGGGCATACAGGTGTCCGCTATCCTCACAATCATATGGACGCTTTATTCTATTCTACGTGAGTAAACGTATATATGTCCACGAAAAATGAATAATTGTGGAAATGACCCCCCTTTCAGTTGATTAAAGGTACACTCTATGCGTTTGAAAATTCCGTAAAATCATATTCCCTATGTGTACGTATCCCGCAAAGCTACTTCTCTTTCCCAATTTAGACCTGAAAGCTACAAAGCCCCTCAAATAAAAGTACCCAATGGACGGGAAGATACGGCGTTTTGGGTTACTGGGCAGTCATAGAGATCTAAATCATTAAAAGGAAATGGGATAAAACATCGAATTCAAATGAATGAGAAGATGAAAATTGCTTTTTTTGCCCAAGATTTCAATTCAGAATTAATTTGGCGGGTAAAGTACATCTGAATCATTTGAATATCAGTTTTTAGACCTTTTAATGTGCCCAGAAAAGAGGGATTAGAAGATCTTAGCCTTAGAGGTAGAATACCTGGCAAAATGGCCCGAGGCAGACAACGTAAGTCCTTTCTTGACAATTTTGAATTACCAACAAGACACCTTTGGTCATGGGCGAGAAATAGAACCCTTTGGCAAAATATCATCGTTCGTCAACACCGATCGGTGATGGCACATGAAGAAGAAGAATGTGCCCTAAAGTTCTTTTTTTTTTTTTTTTTTTGCTTACTCTCTCTACCTTACCTCTCCGCCAGTAAACACTTATTTTATACGTATTCTCATGCCCATTAGAAAACGTGTAAAATAAGTGAACCCATAAGCCCATAAATATGCTTAGATTACTTGTGATAAGAGCTTGTCTTACTAGTACAGTTCCTTTCATTACTAACATTCTCACACCCTTTTCACCTTCATTCCTCTCTCTCTCTCTCTCTCATTCGTAAAATTAGTAATCATTTGTTGTCAAAGATTAAATGATGAAGTAATTGCAGTGAGTCCAGTATTGCCCAGCCAGCTATTCTACCTATTTTTTTTTCTACTCAGAAATTGGACTCAGCTCAGAGGAGATGGCTTCTGTTGTAGGTTTACAAAGGAAAGTTGAACGGCAAGACATGGTAAGAGTTGAATATTCGTGTTCATTTATCATAGATATTAGCTGCATTCATTTTCACTTTAATAACATAAAATTAGATTAATAAACCTCTGAGTTTCTTTGTTGCATTTATAATGAGATCAGATCACTATGTGATATTCTTCACCGTCTAGTAGGTTTCATATTTCTAGACAAAAACAATATAGCCATTGTTTATGTATTTTTAATCGAATAAATTTCAATTCAATCATTACCAATACATATTATATGAAGAGATATTGAAACATTTTAAAAAGAATGTACATTTATTATTATTTAGACCACTCGTGATTACGGGGGGATTTTTTAAGCATTTAATCAATCAAATACAATTCATCTGACAGTCCACTACCGCCAAAGCTGAGGAGACGACAACAAAACCGCCTGAACCAGAGACGCTGAGAAGCTGTAAGCCAATTGAATTTAGGACTAAAATGTCTAGGGATAAAAAGCCAAAGCTGGTTCGTGAGCCGTTATGGGGTCCGGTAAGTTTTTATTGTTTTTTTCACGCACTCAGTCAGACATGCTGTAGGCTGACCAGTAATTATATCCTGGCTAGCAGTAAAAAATGTATACATGCTTTTAAACTATTATGTCTATTTGCAAAAAATAAAAAATAAATAAATAAATAATAATAATAATAATAATAATAATAATTTAAAAAAAATGATAATAATCATAATAATTGGAATGCAGTGATGCAGATGAGTTGGACTTCCGTAGAACTAAACCTGCCTGGTTAGAATTTATCTTTTCCCTAGCATACTATAGTAAGCAGATGTTACCGAGCCAAGCTATTTTCAAAGCGAAAATGTCAAAAAAATGCCTAATAAGCAAAAATGTCAACACCTTATAAGTGCTAAGTCTGGTTCAACCTACATTTTTTAAAAGTCTTCACTCTATATCTTAAGATATAATCTGTATTCTCATTCCATATCAGTCATTAATTTATGACTTTTGCAGCTTCCTCCCCGAATGAACGCTTCATCGGTTGACGCAGTATGGGCGGAGGAGATCCAAAAACGGAAAGAACACATACGCGGAAAATGTGCGCAATACAAAATCAAGACAAGCCCACTGCCAGCAGGTGGAGCTTTACATCAGTACTGGGTGGATGACCATCACAAGTTCATCTTCTGTGAAATTCCCAAAGTTGGCTGCACAAACTGGAAGAAAATCATGTTGATGATGCTATGCAACTACAACAAGTCCTACATTTGGCCCCTAGGTCAGGAGCAGGTGCACGAAGGATTGTCGTACAAAGTAATGAGAAGATTGCAATCTTTTAAACAGAGAGCAGACAGTGACACAAGACTTAAGAACTACAAAAAAGTATTTTTCGTGAGGCATCCTTTCGAAAGACTGGTTTCGTTTTTCAGGGATAAACTCGATAAAGCAAGGGGTCACTTTCGTTATTACCACCCAAGAATTGCGGGCTACGTATTACGTTCTATGAACAAAAAACGGAACGTAACAAATAAAATGATTATGGATTATAATGTAACATTCCCAGAATATATCCAGTATGTGATAAATACAAAGAAGTTTCCTGACATTCACTGGGGTATTCAGCACTCCTTGTGCCACCCCTGCAGTGTCGATTATGACGTCATAGGAAGATACGAAACCATCGTTGAGGACTCAAATAATCTTTTGAAAATGCTAGGAATTGATGAATTCACATACCCGCAGTCGGACAATACTGCGTATGCAAAACACAAAACCATGGATTTAGTTCCAAAGTATTTCAAGGCTCTTAAACCTGAGATGATCAAAGAACTACAAAATATATATAAAATTGATGCAGATATATTAGGTTATGATCTCAATATAAAGCTTTGATAATAGATGCCAGTACGTGACTGAAACCGAGCTAAAGAGCCTCAGGTCACATATTCAGACGAAAATCTAGTCATGGATTTCAACATGGGACCAACCACTTATTCCACTGATTTAAAATGTGATAGAATAAATATTTAAATATTTACCAGCAAGGGGATGTTATATTGGGAGATTGTGGTCATTGGTTTGGTGTATCAGTATATTTAGTGAAATCATTAATGTGAATTTACGGTCCCTTCAGTATTGTTTTAGTCTTTTTAGTTTTGTTTTAATGTAAGATTTATTTTAGTGTAAGTTTGTACTTTCATGATTTTATGTTGTCAATATATCTATACGTAAGTATCGACATTTTATTTACTTATTTATTTATGTATTGCAATGACGATTTGCTAAATAGAAAATCGAGCATAAGATTTTGAACAGTTTTTTTAAAATGATCACGTATCAATTTGGGACATGGTGTACATCGGTGTGCACATGATGACCTATGGATACCCATATCTTGATGGAGAACAGACCATCCTTCTTGGTGATACATTGTTAACATGTTCTTATCTTTCCAATAGAAAATATGTTAAGTAGAACTCTTTAGAGGAAGGTTTATCTCTGTACAATTGAACATTTTTTACAACATTTTGAACATTTTTGAACATTTTGGTGCGTTTGTAATGTTCAGCGCGTGTTGTGATAACGTGGGTTTCTTTTTAAACCTATTAATTATAGCCTTAGAGGATTAGTGTATTCACCTGCGGGTGACGTCAGCAGTGAACCTACTTAACTCACTCGAAGCGCGGGTGATTTTACAAACAACGAATACAAATATAGCAGAAAGGGTCCTATAGCAATATACACCTTAGCATCCTTGTCTTCGCGACCGCGGAGCCATTTTTAATCGAAAGGTCACATTTCAGCAGTTATTTGATTCACCTTTCATTAGGCTACTTAACGTATTTTTTTTTTCACATGGGTATGTTATTTTATAGTGTTCAGTCCAGCAATGTCATAGTGGCAAATTGTTTATACGGACACGCTCTCCTATATTATACGTCATTTTTTCATGTTTTTTATTTGATGTTTTAAAGCATTACAATTATATTTGTACAGGGCCACAGACAAAAGATTCAATGTGTTTATATTAAGTACATCATGAACCAACAGCATGGTTCCAGTTGTTATAAGATAATACAGTTACATTCCATAGGTGGAATATATTATAATGGTTATGGATGGTGTTATTTTAAATATAGCATTAATGGAACTTTATTGGGTATAATTTAAAACATTTTTGAAGTAAAACCGAAGTGCATTATATGATGTTGAGCAGATTTACAGCGTTATATGACGTTGAATAAAATGTTTGTTTTTTTTTTATTGCGTATTCTACTTCTTTGCAAAACTTGAAAACGTGGACCAAAGTGGACATTTTTCAAAATAACCCAAAACAATATGATGACTATTTTCATATCCCTCTACTTCACATTCCATTGAGCATCCAAATACCAAAACAAAACCTCCCAAAAAGTTAAAAGTGACGCAGATAAGACTGCCATACTTCGTAGAAATCATTTGGAGTGTCTAGAAGCTGGGCCATAGTGTGTTTGCCGTCTGTAGGAGAAGCCGCCACGTCTCCCTGTAAGTTAAATCCTCTGGCCACCCTCCTTTCAATGCCCACTGACTCCGTAAGCAGAGCAGATGTGTAAACGTCTTCTATGTGAAAATACGAAACATTGCGAGAATTGTGCCACATCTTCGCAATGTCGGCTGCCTTAAGAATAAACAATGAACCAAGACAAAAATGGCCGTAGTATTGGTAGGGGTAGAACCGGTACGGCGAGTACCATTTTGAACGGGGGTTTCGGTGTGGTACACCGGAATACATGCAGTTCCCGAAAAGGGCGCTTGTTGCCACCATTTCGGTCTTGAGCTTGCCATAGATCCGTCTGCTGTCTATCAAAATATCATCGTCTGTCTTGATGACAAATTCTGCATTCATGCAATTCTCAACAATCCATTGATAGCCCAATAAGGTTTTTCTAGACAAGTTGGCATAGCTTTCTATGAAGTCACCTATGACAAGATCGTGATATATATCATTTTCCCGCCGCGCGAGAGCGTTCAAATCTTCACGGTGTTTGTGGTATCCAATGAGAAATACAACTTTGAAGTCACGTGTCACGTTAAGAGCGGGATTTGCCCACGTCTCCCGTATCGCTTTTCTCTTTTCAGTATGAGAGTGATAAGAATTTATCAGAAAGACTATTTTGTAGTTTTTGTCCCTGCACGAGTTCTTGGGTGACACATTATAGGTCGCCTTTGGTATTGTACATATCTTACATGCCCGATTGCCTTCTGGGAGATTTTGGTTCCCATATTGCAACAAAGTTTCCATGTCGAAGTCCTCCCTCGGTTTGATGTCCCTCTGCAGTTTTGGTCTCTCGTGCGGCGACATCAGCCTACTTAAAGAATTAGAATCACCTCTTGGTGAAAGTACTGAAAGAGTTGCGTACAATACCCAGTACAAGGATATGCTCAATAACATTGACACCTCGGCTGCCGTGTATGTCGACATGGTCATCATCCCTATGCCAATGCATAAAAAAAGATACCGAATCCGCTGTTACAATCACGACTAATGCAACCATATAAAACGCTGTCTGTAGCTTTTGTTTCATATCCAAGCGTTTTATTGCCAGTATTATGATGATATGGTTTTCACAGCTGAATTGCTTGCATTGTTTTTCCCTTAATTTTATTGCAAATACTTCAGGCAAATTTGCCCAAGGCTTTTGTCTGATCCATATACACGGTGATATCGCAAGAACTCCAAAATGGCAGTTGGTGAGAGTAGGACTGAGTACTTGCGTGGTTGGGCTTTCTTGTCTCACAAGACCGGACCCTAATTTGATCAACGAATTATTGATCTGACAGTCATGACAGTGGTAACTCGTAAACAGTTAGCATTTTATGTCAAATCAAATCTACTTGGTTTTGGAAATCATCACAGTTTTCGCCAACTGATATGATTAGATACTACCGCTTTCGTGTTAATCACTAACAGAATGACCTGAAGATACATGTAGAAAGCGACATAATTTCTGCACCATATATTTTCAATACCTCGGTCATGAAAATACGATTCAGATTGAAGTCATTACCATGCATGGCATGGCTCTGGTGGATATCTCCTGTGGTAATACACAAAGAAGTTAAAGACCATTCGTGCCAAAGACAGTCAGCCTCGTTACCCTTCAGGACAGCTGAGTCTAAGAATACGCTTGCCAAAGCTGAAACAGTGGCTAGAAACTAAATGTTTTTACAAACTTTTACTGGCCTGGTTTTGGTTTTATTGACAATCGACGTGGGACTAACATCAACGCTGCTGACTACTTGAGATATCGAGTTTAAATTTGGGAAGAGACACCTATAGTTACTAGATAATGGTGAAGAAGTTCATTTTAAGTTTTAGGTTTGCCAGTTACAGAACACTGGTCATTTTATGTCTTTTCCAGTTCGTTGTCATTCTTTATTTAACAACTAGGTGAGTAGTGATACACCACCTTTTTCTTTCCTCTTCTTTTTGTATCTACTTATGTAATGCATATTAGTTATGACATGTTTCTGTACCACCCCTCTTTCAGTCAAGCCGCTCGTGCATTTATAATATGTCTAGAGCATAAGGTTTTAAATGAATTCCATTTTTAGTTTTGATTTATTATTGCTATAGCTATACCAATTATTGTATGTCAATATGTCTTTTGCTGCTAGATGACTAGATGTTGACTTCTACTGTTTACTGAAGACATTGCTCTCCAGTATACAAATGAAGGCTGGAGAGCAAGCTCTTTAGTAAATAAAAGAAGTCAACATCTAGTCATCTGGCCGCAAAAGGCATATTGCATATACGAATGAATGAACTACGCTTAATCTACAAGTAGATGATTATTATGTTGCAGCTAAAATATAACCATTATCTAGAACTAATTTCAAGAAAAAAAGGACCCATTGAAAACACACAAAGCAAACTAAAAGAGTAGACACTATTGGCTAACCCATTACTATGCTATATTTTCAGGCTTATAACGTACAAGCCGGTTGTTGCCAGTCATCCTTGTAGAATAAATATCAGTCACCTAGGTTAGATACATAACTGAAAACTGAGTATAATAAATATACATTAACTTGCTCATTTAAATCTACTTGTTTGCAGCATATGCACAAAAGGATTGAAATATTAAAATACTGCAAATTAAGTTGCTCAAAAGGAAAATATAAAAGCATTTACGTGTACAAAACCAAAAAAAGTTAAAGCTGGGCAAAAAAAACTATGTACGAAAATCAAATTCTCCTGAGTTCCATTCCACGTATGCCTTTATTAACATCCATTGTGAATCTTTCTCCTTCATCTTCAGAGACCAGAGTGAGTGTAGTCATGCACAATATAATGTCAAATGATCTGAAGGCCGAGCTGTTCAAAGACGTGACACCCGGCGGCTCTTGGTTTCCCAAGACCTGTGACGCCCTGTCCCACGTGGCTGTCATCATTCCGTTCAGAGATAGACAGACCCATCTGGAAATACTCCTTCAGAACCTGCACCCGTTTCTCCAGCACCAGAAAATCCACTACACTATCTTTGTCATAGAACAGGTATATTAGACTATATAGATTTATTGTCATCAGCCATTAGTGTGGCAAAATCTAAGCAACTGCACCTCTTTGGAAAACAGATTAATTTTGAATACACAAAATACACTAAGTTCGGTACGAGTCTGAACTTGGAGCATTAAGTTGTTGTGGTTGTATCCAATCTGAGTTTAATTTATGTTTTTATACCAAACATAGGTCTGTGAGGCCTGTAAAACTTTAATGACGTCATAGTGAAGTCTTTGGGCTTATATTCTGCTGTATAATTTAACAAACATTTTAATTCCACATCAAGGTACCCCCGGTCACCTTCAACCGAGCTCTCCTCATGAACGTGGGTTTTGTGGAATCCCAGCACACCTACAACTTCTCTTGTTACATATTCCATGACGTGGACTTGATTCCCGAGAACAACCAGCTCCTGTACACCTGTCCCCAAGGTTTGGGCGTGGCACATATGGCTTCCGGGCAGGACAAATGGAAATGGAAGTACGTGGCCCATACAATCATATTAATGGCGGATCTAAACATCCCCCCCCCCACGTCCTCATCCACCCCACCATCCCTGCGCGCACGCACACACACACGCGCACACACATTTCGACCTTTCTGAGTCTTTGTTTTATTGCCTTTGCACGCAAAAGCGGCGGGTGAATCGAGACAAAATGCCTTTTTTTTTTCTATCCCGATAAACGTCGAACGCGCTCACACATTGGATTAAGAAGGCTGGTCTTTGTAACAGAGCGAGAGAATGAAATCTCCACAAAAACCTGATTTCATCAGTTTTTATCATGATGTAGGATTGGCTTGATTTCCTTTTTATTCAGCAAATCCAGCCCCTGTCCCCCTGTCCCGCCCTTCCCAGACACCTAACAAAGTAGTAAAAATCCATTTTGGGGCTCAAAGTGGTAGGGCCAATGAGTGAGATTTTATTATGCATCTTTTTTTGTAATTTATAGATAGAATTATAGATAAACAGTAAAAAACCTGAAACTCGGACTGGAACGTTACATGTTTTAAAATATTAAAACTTAATGAACAGATTAAAATGATAACCATATAGCATTCATATACGAACCATGCATGCAAAACGAACAAGAAAGATATTTTATAGATTATATTGTTATATCATGTATTTCATGACATTGTAGAACTCCATATCGTGGGTATATCGGAGGTGTGGTGGCAGTATCAAGAGAAACTTTCACGTCTGTCAACGGCTTCTCTAATGTATATTTTGGTTGGGGCGGAGAAGACGATGATTTTAGAAAAAGGTAAGTGACTAGTATAAAATGGAATGTGTGTGCTTCTTTGCGTGTGTGTGCGTGCGCGAACGCGTGCATGCAAGCAAGCGCGCGCGCGTGTGTGTGTGTGTGCGGGTACGTTAAGGAGCTTTTTTAAGAGGGTAGAAAAGACACACAGTGAGGTCCACGTGGGGCATACCCAAAGCATTATTTATTTTAGTTCACGGATTTTCAATGCAGCAGAGAAGTTGGGAGAGGGAGCATTGAAATGACCTCCCATCATTCCTCTCTTTTGTGTACTTTTTATTTATTTATTTATTTTGCAGGAGACACTTTTGTCTAGTGGAGGGAAGAGAGGGGAATGGTGGGACACTATCAGAAATCCATGTCAAGTATTAAAATTTTTATTTTAACACGTCAAATTTGTATATTTTGATGTTAAAACGTTCATCATATTCTTATACTTTAGGCTGACTGACAAAGGAATTAAAATCCAGTATCTACCACCAGAAATTGGACGTTACAAAGCAATAGCCCATGGAAAAGATAAAACAAACCCAAAAAATATCATGAGGTGCTTATCAGTTCCATTAAAACGGGTAGTATTTGGACATAATAATCTGGACAGGAATTTACATGTACAAGTTGTTTAATTATTTATTTATTTATTTATTTATTTTTCTTTACTTTTACCATAAGTTAATGTTTACGGCATTCCGTTTAAAGAGTTGCGTTTTTCTTTAACATGAGTTACAATTTTTTAATTCGTTGGCCCTACCAGCTAACCGTGCATTTCATAATTTTGCAGGGAATTCTTTTTGTACCACACAAAGTGGCTACAACCGGTTGACGGGCTGACGTCGTTGAGATACAGCAAGGTATCTTTGGAGAAAAGGCCGACGTATACTTTGATCAGAGTCAACGTCAGCGAGGAGGACGTGATAGAGGTAAGCTCAATAAGTCAGATATAAATTATTAAAGAGATATATAAGCATGGCTCGCAAATTCAAAATACGTTGATCTGATGCTCATCATGCTGATAAGGGTAGAGAATCACCAGAGAATAAAAGGGAGGTATCAGCTGTCATATATTTGTATTGTTGATAATTTCAAAAGTTTAAACTTAAAATTTTAACGTAAAAAGTTGTCAGCAATGCCTCTTCAATGTAAGATACTCTGTCTTTTTTTTTTTTTTTTTAGAATATCTGGAAGGAAAGCAATTTAAAGAAGCCCACTGAAAAAGAAATGCTTGCTCTTAGAAGAGGGCGAAGGATAGGACTACATATTAAAAGATGGCGATCTATGCAGAAAACTCGGCGACAGAAACACAGTAGATGGCGACAACGCAGGATTGGGAAAATACACGTAGACCTACACGTAGCTGGGTTTTCATCTGAACTTGAGGAGAGCACTTAATTGTAGTAGACTCCTTTTAAATCTCAGTATATAACAGTAAAGTCATTTTGATGCTATTGCAGATAGAAAACTGACACTATCGTTTCATGTTATCAAATTTAGGGTTATGGAGAAAGGAGAAAAGAAGGGGGAGGGGCAGAAGTGATGAAGTTAAATGCTGAGTCGTAGGCTGAAAGCATTCTTGAGGGGGAGAAACTGTTGAAAGTCTACGATGCATGTAATAGTCTATAAGCAGGTTATAAAAGGGCACACGTGTACCACCTGAGGCACTCAAGTAGACTCTGATGCTGACTAAGACGACAAAAGGAGTAGGCCTACTTAAAACTGAAAGGAAACGGATAACATATTCTACCTCATCCTAAGCGTTCTTGGATTGAAATGATAAACATTATATCAATATGATACAGACAATTAAAATAAAAAGTAAGCAGTTTTATTTGAGATACATTCCTTCGTTTCATTGCATTTGTTATCTTTCATTCTTGTATCGTATTACATTTATTTGGAATAAATAGGTAACATTAATATTAATTAGTAGCCTATTAATTTGTTAAACGTAGATCTAGCCAAAATATCGTGCATGTTTTTAATGGAAAGAAAATTAAGAGCAAATGAACTTTCCATCTGACTGTGCTCTTAGAACCTAAACTTAATATTTTGTTTAAATAAGGGAATTTTACTTACATAACACGCAGAAAGATAATTGTTTGGGAGTTTCTTATATTCGCCGATTTGCACAAATTTATTCAAGGAGACCCATAAATAGTTTTATTTGCATAATATGCAAAAGAATATGATAAATATATACAACATTGGTCAAAAAGGTTGTCCCACCCCCAAATCCTTTCGCTTTTGTTTACAAAATGATCACCTCACAAATGTAAATTGTTACGTTTTATTCCACATACTATATCTAACATGATTAACGGTTCAGAAATTCAAAATAGCGGTGAAGATATCCATATTTATGCCTTTTATTCAAATTTATAACATGTACCCTCTCAAACCCATTGTTTTTCCCTTTGATTTCCAGAGGTAAAGAAATGTACATTTTAAATTTAAAATTTTGAAAGACGCCAGTAAATGTCAGCAAATTTACACACAATTAGCATGCATAACCTTCTTTTATAACCTGCTTTGCATGCATCGTAGACTTTCAAAGCCTCCTCCAAAAAATATTTAAAGTCCCACCCTGCATACAACTGTAAGATTTCTGCACCCCGCCTTAACTGTATTTTCTGAACCATTTTAAAATCATGTTAGATATGTTATGTGGAAAAAAAGGACTGCTCATAACATTATACACCTGTGAGGTGATCATCTGTAAAATAAAAGCACATGCATTTGGGATTGGGACGACCTTATTGACCAATGTTCTATACACTTCGAGCAAATCAGAAAGGATGTAGATCTACATATACACAGTTTGTGAAATTGCAGCAGAGGTGACATTATCGCAATTAACGCAATTGTCAGCTCTTTGACCAATCAGAGTGAAGAATACGTGGAACAAGTCCGCCATATTGGATCCACGCTGGAAGTTGCCGGCTGGCAATAACATAATTTTCTGAGGAACAAATACACAATAAAGAAAAGTTGCAGGTGGTTGGATTGCAGAATGTTAACAAAGTTTGAAACGAAGTCAGCCAGGGTGAAAGGTAATGTAGCAATATGTCATTTCTTTCGACAAGAAAAAATTTAAGTTACAAACACGAACTACAGGTTGTTAATGTTGTCAAATGCGAAACCGCCTCAACCTTTTGCTGTTCTTAGATGTTTTCGGAGAAATATCCCCTTTTTAAAAAATCAATGTAGTTTAGAAAGTTGCACAACAAATAATTTTGAAAATTGTCCATCAACATTGTGAAGACATACCAAGTAAGCAGTGTAGTACGTGCTTAGGGAAGTTCCCTATTATTTCATTTGTAGCAGTGTACTGTAAATAATTTTACTGTAGGGAATGATCATTTTGTAGGAAATTATTATTATAAATGAAACATGCAATTTTACTTGGACCCTAAGACTAAAAGTTTGACAAAGTATGGTGTTTATACTTCAATCAGCCTGAGAAAGGTTTCAATGTAGATTAGAAATGTGCATCTTTACCTTGTTACATTTGCATCTTCTCTTTTCTCCAGGAATATCCTTTCACCCAAAGCGGCCATGGATCTTGTCCAGTTTACACAATGGAGTGATCCAACTGTGGGACTACAGAATGTGTACACTGATCGACAAGTTTGATGAACATGATGGTCAGTTTTATTACCAGTAGGGTTATGGAAGAGAGAGAGAGAGAGAATGTGCATGTGTGTGAGAGAGAGAGAGAGAGAATATGTTGATTTCTAGAGTTTAAGGGAAAGGGAGAGTTAAATTTAAATAGATGCAATAAATTTGTGCAAAAAAAAAGGGTTCAAGAATCTACAGACCGAAAGCAAAAAGGTTGACAATTAACTGAACACATTTACAAAACTTCTCTAACCTAATGCCCTTGCCTCAAAATAACTTACATTTTATTTGGGAACAATCTTGATTCAGACTGTAAAAATATTATATTAACAAATACACATTATATATGTTTACCGTATATTTTTACTCTAGGCCCTGTTCGAGGAATCTGTTTCCATAACCAGCAGCCTCTGTTTGTCTCTGGTGGAGATGATTACAAAATTAAGGTAAAGTAACATATGGCTCTTGTCAGTCAATACTGTAGAAAAAAAATCACTTTTTTTAACTCAAAATTTGAGAAGCATGATCATGAAATCTTTCAATGTATCTCTTTCATTTTTAGGTGTGGAATTATAAACAGAGAAGGTGTCTTTTCACATTACTTGGACATCTGGATTACATTAGAACAACTTTCTTTCATCACGTGAGTATCTGCTTTTTCAAGTCATCTCTTACTGAGAGAAGAGAGTTATAAGCCACAGCCACAGCACTTTACCATTTCAAATTTGAAATAATCTTCTACTGCTGTTGATGTGAAACAGTGTCTTAATTTGGTAGCTTGTATTTTATGGATTGTACATATTTGTTTATTGATAATTCCAGCCATTTCTACTAAATAAGTTATTTCCTTTTTCAGTGTTTGATAATACTTACCCGATTAAGTTTTTTTCTTCTCTTTTATTTCATTGATTTACTTTATACTTTAGGAATATCCATGGATTCTCAGTGCATCAGATGACCAGACGATACGTATCTGGAACTGGCAGTCAAGAAACTGTGTGTGGTAAGCTGAATGAAGTAGTCAAAAGAAATTGATAAGATAAGAACTAAATGATCAGAATAGGTGTTGAATTCTTAATAATGTGTTTTGCCAAATATATATCATATTCTGTTAGATTAAAAAATAGAAAAAAAAATCAGTCTGAAAGAAATCGTCATTATAGGTTAATGTTCTGATGTATGTTCTATGTGAGATATAAAAATCTCCTTGAAGACGTATGCAAAATGACAATGTTGTGAAACCTGATATTTATAAGATACAGAAATCATAAATTTGTCAGTCTGTGAAAGACAGTGACATTACAATACAAGTAGATGTTTTTTACAGCATCAAAAACTGCAACCAGTGTGCTGATATTTCCATTTAAATGGTTGCTGTTGAATTATTATTATTATTATTATTATTATTATTATTATTATTATTCCCAGTGTGTTAACAGGCCACAGTCATTATGTGATGTGTGCCCAGTTTCACCCCAGTGAAGACTTGGTAGTCTCTGCCTCTCTGGATCAGTCCGTGAGAGTGTGGGACATTTCAGGTAAAAACTGGCCACAGATGGTACTGGAGGCTGGTTCTGCAGTTGCTGCTTTCAGTGGTTGCAAAATTGATCAACTCTTGTTTATTTTTTATTTCTTTGGTTTTGTTTTGATTGATCAGTTTATGTGAGGGAATGATGCCAGTGAGAATGAAATCTTTTGCGTGAAAAGGTATTATTTGTTACTGTTTTTGATTTGGAGTTTTACCTTGTCACTGATAAATCATTTCCTCATTTACTGGTTAAATTTCTGTTTAACAGTTATTTCATTTCCTTCCTTGCAGATCTTTTATAATCTTTCATGGCACCAAGTTTCCTTCCTCTCTGGTTCTTAGCACAAAGGATCATGTCTAATGTCAACTGATCAATATTCTAATCCCCAAAGATTTTTTAAAGTGTTAATACTAAATACAAAAGTCCTATTTATATTTAAACAAGTTTTGAATTTCATTCAATTTAAACAGTATTCTTGGTGTAAAATTTTTAATTAGTACCAAATGTGTCTTTGAAGACATCTGGCTTTCTGTTGTTTTTTAACTCCTCTTTGTGCTGAGACATTAGAGCTTACAGCTAGCAGTAACTTTTGAACAATCTGTGCTTTTTAATGTTTTCTGCTTTTCCAAGAATGATTTTGACCAGTTAAAAAAAAGAATGTGACTCTTCCACTCCCATCTCTAACATCCTCAAATTATAAAGCTTGCCCCACCTTCATCTGGTCGCAGTCCAGTTTGCAGTGAGACCGTCAACAGTCTTCAAGAATATAGAAAAAAACTACCTATTTTGGTATAAAAAACTGGCATTCTTTCCTAGTGAAGTATTCTCCTATAATTTCCAGTCCATTTTCAGGGAGATTAAAGCCATCAGTCTTAGCCACGCCTACTGTAAAAAGAGCACCTCGCTTTTGGCTACCCGATTGGCCAAACCAACAGCATGACCTGAATTGATTATTTATTGATTATTAATTAATTATTAATTAATTGATTGGGCCCTGTGATCTGTTTGCTCCTTCAGTGTCTTGACTGGTCATGGACATTATGTGATGTGTGCTCAGTTTCACCCTACGGAGGATATGGTTGTATCTGCTTCTCTTGATCAGACTATCAGAATCTGGGACATTGGTGGTGTGTATATAATTATTGTTTTAATTTTTATCTATTAAAAAAGGGGAAGGGAAATATTAAAATATTTCGAAAAAAGAAAAGAAAGAAAGAAGCCTTCATGTTGGTGTTTTGCACCACCATTGTATATTGAAACAATTTTAAAACGTTTAACTTTTTTTCTAACATTTTACGTTATCAGATAAATTTAAAAGAGTGCAACTTTTCAAAAGAATAAAAAAAGTAATTTTTAAAAGAAACGTCATGATTATATATCAGCATGTTATGCCACTGTGTACTTCATTGCTAGCAGCATCATTTTAGATCTGAGAGCTCATATTAGGAAGTTTATCACAATTTTTGATGCAGTCAAATTCCTGTGTTGCTGCTATTTCTATCATATCACCAAGGGTGTGTCTACGCACAATCCCAGCTTTAGCTATACCACTGCTGACTATAAGTCTCTTGCACCTTTTGGAGTTTTTATTTTATTTCTTTAGTTTTTCTAATTTTTATTTCGTAGAAATTTTAGTTATTTTTCCTTGGCTTTTATTTTATTTTGTCAGTAGTATTTGTGGTTACTTGATTTTTGTTGCTTTGCCGTTGCATCTCTAACAGTACACATTCTGAAATTTATATGAGTGTTTTTCTTTTTATAGAATGATTTGAAATAACGTATGCCTATTTGAACATAACTTGATGCTATAAATTATAGCTTCTTATAGAATAAGCATGCTCGTGTTTAATTGAAAATTAGTGGGCTATGCTAGTGCTTGCCATAGTGTGCAGTTATCCATTTTCATTGACATATTTATTCATTTTCATAAGTATGTATTTTATCAAGTAATATGATATGCAAATCTGCACTTTTGGTAATATACACAGCATGATTAAATACTTATTATAAACTTAAAAAAAAATACATGTTTTAAAGATACAAGATAATACAATAATGAGGGCATGGATCTTTCATTCTTATAAGGTAGAATCCATGCTCATGAGGAATTAAGAGAACTTGTAATGGTAAAAATTATAATTTGTCAATTTCTTTTAAATCACGTATCCACAGATATATTTGGTATGTATAGAAATAATAACCGATTCCCTCAGGTTTGCGTAAGAAGAACGTAGCCCCAGGACCTGGAGGTCTAGAAGATAGGCTGCGAAACCCCAACCAGACTGACCTGTTTGGGACGTCTGACGCCATAGTGAAGCATGTGCTCGAGGGGCACGATAGGGGCGTCAACTGGGTCTCCTTTCACCCCACACTCCCTCTCATTGTCTCGGGAGCTGATGATAGACAGATTAAACTGTGGAGGATGAATGGTAAGGAAAGAATTTGTGTTATTATAGAGACACAGGTTGATTGTGGTGGGTGCCCCTCTCTCGAGTGGTAGTCTGTTATATTAAAAAGAAAAGCATTTGCCTTATTTTAGTGGCATTGGTTGGTCACCATTTTGTGTATTCATTGTCAAACTGTCTTGCTGTTGTTTTGAATTTTAATTATCATGTTGAAAGTGAAGAACTGATAAGAGATTTTGATTAGTGTGTCACATTACTTAGTCTGGTATTCATGCAAAATGAGGTCACAGATCATAACAAACAACTGATTTCATTACTGAGAGTCTTCTTTTGTCACCAGGTCTGTGTTAAATATATGAACTTTTTTGCAGTCGATGGTTATGTTATATAACATCTAAGTACCTATATTTGTGTGTTTGGATGACCAATACATGATTACCTCACCAACTGTCCACTTCCAGAGTCCAAGGCATGGGAGGTGGACACCTGCCGTGGTCACTACAACAATGTGTCCTGTGTCCAGTTCCATCCCAGACAGGAGCTGATACTCAGCAACTCTGAGGACAAGAGCATCCGTGTATGGGACATGTCTAAAAGGTAGGTGACAAACACTCCATCCCACTACTCCAAATGAGATAACAATTATAAATTTAATTGAATTGAAAAATGGAATAACTCTGGCTAACTATATTGCAATATTAATCTCAACTACTGATCCCTCCTCAATTTTAAGTAATTTATGTATTTTATTTGCAAGTATGTAACCTTTGTTATGGTCACACTTTGTGATATATCTTATGACCAGGCAGATGCTCTCTCTTTCTCAAATGCAGATTAAGTTCATTATTACAACTTTTAAAATATTTCCATTATTGGTAATAGTGTTGTTGTTATCAATTATTATTGTTATTTTTTAATGTAGTGTTAATGCTCCTTTAATTCTTTGAAATTTTGTCATTCTGCAGTCAGTTATAAAAATGTGATTATTGATTATTTGACCACCATGGTTTTTCCCCGTGTTACAGAACTGGAGTGCAGACATTCCGCCGCGAGCACGACAGGTTCTGGGTGCTGGGAGCACACCCAAGCCTCAACATCTTCGCAGCAGGGCACGACAGCGGCATGCTCATCTTCAAACTGGAGCGTGAACGCCCTGCCTACGCAGTGTACCAAAACACACTGTTCTACGTCAAGGAGCGATTCCTGCGCAAGTTGGATTTCACGACTTCCAAGGATGTGGCTGTGATGCAGTTGAGAGGGTGAGTGTGGGGCATGGAAACTGGGAGCAGGAAGCTTTGTCCTTCCTAACTTTTTGCCTACTCTGAAATTGAAAATAATGGGAGCCTTTCTTATGTCTCTAAAGGCATATAAGAAGAATGTATTTCTTCATTTTACATTAGTTTTATGACAAATGTAGAAGTAGTATAAGGGCATTGTGGCAAAAAATGCCCTTAATTCTTCTTTGACTTCATACTTGCTTCTCTGAGACCATAAGTCAGCAACTACAACAATGTATCAATGTCATCAAAAATCTGGTGTTGATTTTTGTCCTCTTCATATTTTATTGGTGTGGTTTCATATATACCACCCACAATGTACTAATTTTCATCATTATTTTATCCACAGAGGCTCTAGGACCCCTGTCTACAGCATGTCCTACAACCCTGCAGAGAACTCAGTCCTCCTCTGTACGGTAAGTTAGCAAGAGTTGTCATCTTGAGCCTTTCAGGACTTTAACAGTTCTCATGGCAATGTAAAGCCTATTCTTTCTTAAAGCATTAGATAAGGCTTACATTTTCAAGTTCAACTGTCCAATTTATAAAAAAGAAAGTAAAAATAAGATTAAAAAAAAGTAATCAAATATTTGTAATTTTCTTAAGCCAAAATAAATCATCATTACTATTTGGCAAAATGTTCATGTGCTAGTATGGCACTCTTGCAAACTCAAGCCACCATAGTGAAGATATTGTGCCTATTTAAAATTTGAAACAGAAGTCGTAACTGGTGGTTTGGTAATTATGCTGTGTTGTGTTCCAGAGAGCATCCAATGTGGAGAACAGCACCTATGACCTGTATGTTATCCCCAAGGATTCCGACTCACAGAACCCAGATGGTGAGTTGGGGGCATTTGTTTCAGCAAAGAAAAAAAAAAAAAAGAAAATGCTAAATTTAAAATGTTGTTTGTTCATCACCCTTCTTCACTTTAAAAATTACCAAAACTCATTTGGACTGGAGATGGAATACCAGTTGCATTTGCCAGCCTTATTTCAGAAAGGAGTTTGGGATAATTATACTATATATTTACTATTTTATATAAAAGATATATATATATAGATGCTGATCTTAATATTTATTGGGTACTAGTAAATTCTCTAAACCTACATTGTAAAGCTTCTTGGAGAACTTCATTGTATAAGACAGACTGGCCAATGTAAAAACCTTGTTTTGATATTTGTTAATTTTTCATTTATCTTATTTTGTCATTATTAACTATACCAATATTTTGCCGTGTTTTAGCTCCAGAAGGGAAGAGGTCTTCAGGACTGTCAGCTGTCTGGGTGGCTAGGAACAGGTTTGCTGTGCTGGACAGGTCCCATACTGTAAGTAGAAAATAATAGAAAATCATTT